AATATATATGAGGTACATGTATCCTCCATTGTCAAAAAACAAAGGCTAGCTAAAACACTGTGTCTAGTAAAATCACACAAAATACCCATAAAAATTAATAACTACATGTGTAACTAAATATAACTAATATGTGCTAGCACAATACTGGGTTAATGCTTGATCAAAATTTGAATTAAACATTTTTAAGGAAAAAAAAAACTAAATAAAAAAGCTCATGCCAACCAAAGGTTGTTGGTACATTTTATACATTTTCACTACCACAGAGGATGAGACAATAGACAACAGCTATGATTTAAGCTAGATTTAAGATTTAGACCAACAGGCAACACTTTACTTGTGCATTTGGTCTGTGATTGATAAACATTATCATACACAATTCCACTAAACAAACATAATAATACATAATTATGATCACTAAATATATCATATATTTGTATCAGAAAAGAAATGATGGTATTTCTGTAATGCTGAAAATTTTACATCCAGAAAATCTGTATGTATGAATTATAAGACAGTCATAAACAAACATCAGCAGAGGTTTCGGCTGACAAGAAGAAGATTTTTTTTTACAGTATCTTTTTGTTTGTGTTAAGATTACAGTATGTGGAACTGTGAATTATTAGTACATTTACTGCAGCTGATCATTTTACATATCTGGTGTGTAGTTAACAACTGGATAGAAATCTTTCTCTTTCTTTGAGTCTGAATTCCAATGCAGCCTCTCTCTGTGTGGCCTTAGCATGGAGAGGAGGTCTCACCAGCAGCCAGTGACCTGGCCATGGTGCTGACCAGAGGGCTTAGTATGGAGCAACAGAAAAGCAGCAGAGACTCCCTGCAGTACTCCAGTGGATACAGTACAGAGACTACAACCCCCTCCTGCTCTGAGGACACAATCCCTTCACAAGGTCAAACTCTACATCACATTGATTATCTTATTTCTTAAGGAAGGACAACATGAAAAGGGATGCTTTTTTAATTTAAATAACATTTATATGCTTTGCAGAGCTTATTAGTTTCACTAGATCTCTTGTTGTGAGGGTGTAATGTAGTGTTATCAAAACCAAACATAGCTATTGATTTAATCAATTTAATCTTCCAAGCAGCAGGTATCATGTAGTAGGTATTATGTCAGATGTAGTCTAACAGTTTCCATAACTGCAACTCGAGAATGACAATATAAAAACGAATCTTTATACTATTAAGTGTGCTCCTGCATACAGTAAGATAGAGTGCTGTCTGTCAGTTGCTGGCTTCCTTGGCCTAAATACCATATCCAAATAATGTGTGTCACTACAATGTTTTCTTTCCTTTGTGATGGTTAATTCTCTTTTCAGTCACTTCTCTAAAAATGTAATGATGATCTCCCCCCACATTAGGTTCAGATTATGACTGCTACTCAGTGAACGGTGATGCTGAAGGTCTAGATACAGGGCAAACAGAGTTCGACAAGTCCTCCACCATTCCCCGCCACTCCAACATTGCCCAGAACTACCGACGCATGATCCAAACAAAGAGACCAGCCAGCACAGCTGGCCTACCAAGTGGAGTTCTTGGTCCTGGGGCTCATGGGATACCAGGGCAACCTGGTGGAGCTGCTGGAGGTGGATCAGGCACTCCAGGCACTGCCACCATCAGACGAACCCCATCTACTAAACCAGGTGTGAGGCGTACACTATCCAATGCGGGGCCCATCCCCATCCGTCCACCCATTGTGCCTGTAAAGACACCCACTGTTCCTGGAGATTCACATTCACCTGGCACAAGTGCTGGTGGGTATGCAGGTGGTGTGCCCGTGCGTGTAGGCAGTGAGGAGTGTGTGTTCTTTACTGGAGTTGAGGATACACAGGGAGCGCTTGATTATGTGAAGGCATCACCCAAGCGCCTCAGCCTGCCTAATACTGCCTGGGGATCAGGGGCTGCATTAGAGGTCTACGCCCAGCAGCATGGGGCCCTTGCAATGGGAACAGGCTCAGGGGCCGGATCAGAGGAGGATCAAATGATCGCGGCCAATCGACACAGCCTAGTGGAGAAGATCGGCGAGTTGGTAGCCAGTGCACATGCCCTCGGAGAAGGGCAGTTCCCTTTCCCTGCCCTCCCTGATGACCCAGCTCCACAACCATCTGGCCCCACTGACACTCAGACAGGGACAGAGGGGGCAGAGGGGTCTGGTGATATGTTGACCACCATCAGGAGAGGAGTCCGCCTTCGCAAGACCGTATCCAATGATCGCTCAGCACCGCGCATCTTGTGATTGGAGGAGAAACAGGAAAAGGATGATACTTGTCAGCCAAAAGGGAGTCAGGTATTGATATGGTGCAAAAGTAAATTATATATAATATAATGATAATAATAACATTAATAATGTTAACCAATGCTGACAATTAAATTAAATACTGAATATTTGACAGGCTTCTAGCAGGCCACTATAACTAGTATGTGTTGGACGCATGTTTGTCTTCTCTACACCCTCACCCAGGGATGGAAACTTGCAGAAAAAGCAGATAAGATTTAAAAAGGCAAAGAAAATGAAAGACCGGGTTCTGTCCTGTTTGCCATCTTACACCCTTCCCCATCCTCTCCTCCAACTAACCCAGCCGTCTAATCCCAGATGAAAGACTGATGACTGAAGGAGGGGCCACTGGAGGCGAGAAAAGGGGGTCAGAGTGCCATGACTAGCTGGATTTGAACCCAGGCTGTGTCAGCAGCAACACACTGTACTTAAAGCCCACTGACCTGAAGCTTTGGTATTAGCACGGGGAGCTAACAAACCAGGGGACTCCTCTGGATACTAATGTTAGTCTTTTTAAAAAAAATACTGTTGGCATTGAACCATGCTAGTGCCCCCTTCCCCTCTCTCTCTGTGTGTAGTGTGTGCGCGCATTCACGTGTATGCATGTGGGCAAATGTTAAATAGGAACAGGTGTGCATATGTCTTTGACAGTGTGTGTGTGTGTGTGTGTTTGTGTGAGGGGGGTGGGTAGAGCTCTGCTGCAGGACAGCTGGTTACCAAGTGAGGGCAGGGCTTTTCTCCTGTGTGTTGTGCGTGTGTTCTTGTTAATATCGTGCCGTCATTTACCTTGTTACCACTGTATGAGAAGTTATGAGAAGTAATCCAGGCATATAGATTTATTCATATATATTTTCTAGAACCAGAGAGAAAAAGTTAAATCAGAAATGGAGCAATAAATGTGTTTTATTTTCTTGTTTGGAAGAAATGCATCAATGGAGGATGGTAAGTTCTCCTTTGTCACATTCAGGCAATCATCAGGAATGCTAAATTACACATCCACTGTGAATTCATGCCTAGCTGGTTTTGGCGTGGCTCTCTCTCTGTCCCTGTCTCTTTCTGAGGGAATAAATGGATTACAAAAATGTCGGAAAAAAAAAGGAAAACTGTAAGCACTTTGCAGAGTATGTACAGTAGCCACTAGGTGTTGCTGTGGTCACACTGTATGATAAGGAGAGTTCAGGTGAGTGAGGTGGTTGCCCATAAGACTGTCCTGAGTAAATTATTTTATTTGTAGAAGACAGGGAAAGACAAAGAGGAAGTGTTAATACTTGAGGATTTGGAGTGCTTGGTGAAATGAGTGATGGGTAAAGAAAGTAGAGCAAAATATCTAAAATTGGGTTGGATGTCAGCAAGCCATTTTCTGCTATGGACTGTGAATAGTACTGAAGCTTTTTATGATAGAGTTGGAGTGGTATCTGAAGAACTGAGCATGCAATGCAAAATACACTACACATTTTGGTCAGACTATATTTAGATATACAGTAGGATTTAAAAGGTCCGTTTCCCCAAATGAGAAGCCTGATAGAGTTACAATTTCTGCCTCCTCCCCATAACAATAGAAGTGAATGTAATGTTGTTTGTGGTGCTCATAGCATAAAAAACTACATTTAAAAGCAGCTACCTGTTTTCCCAGAGACAACAGCCCATTTAGTTCCAGCATCTACTTGGACTGTTTTCATTAGCACTACTTTCTACTGTAGAAATAGTGCATCAAAACCTGTTGATAACACAAGCATATGGATTACATAGAGAAACAAGGACACTGTTTAAGGGAAAAAACACAATACTGCAGAATATTTAAATGCCATTTTCACTACTGTGAGCAATACAAATTAAATTCATTTTCATTGTACTGGAGTGGAAGTAGACATGTCAAAACCTGTATGAATACAACCAAAACTATCAAGATGCCTAGATCTAGAGATACAATAAGTAAGACAATATGTATATTTGGGTTCACAGACATGTACATATACATCAACAATGGACCAGAAATGCATTTGCCTGTGTAGGTTTCGCTCATGTGCAAATATAGCTTTACCTATAAATACTGTATATTTTGCATTGTGAGTTCAGCAAAGTTAAGCCTTAAACATAGTTGAACAAGTCTTTTGCCGTTTCTTCCTTTATCGAATTAACAACAGAACTATTGTGTTTTACCACTCATAGAAGTACTACTGAGGATTATAATTGCAATAATGCTACCATAGGAGCCAAAAGATTATGAAACACATAGAGAAGCCATGAATATTTGGTTGCTAAAAATGTTGGACAGTAACACGCATCACTTAAATATGTTATTCTAACAACTTTTTTCTTAGTGAAGAGTAAGCAGGTGCAAATTGGTTAACATTAGCTGTTGATGGTCTTTCTGGTTCTCAATGAATGTAGTTCCTGTGATCTTGCTGTTTAAAAAAAAAATCACCAGGCTACTCCAGTAAGGTTCAGCTCAGTGCAAGTAGCCCAGCTCATTTTAGGGCATGGCTGTAGGAGAAAGGATTATTTATGGACATTAAGATAAGAGAAAAGATGAGGTGTGTTTGATGTGTTTGCTGGAGACAGAGAATCAGCAGGCTTTCACTGGAAGTTTGAAGCTGACAGAGAGAGGAGTGGACGGAGCATTTCACTGCCTGTTCATACAATATGTACTGTAAGTGCGGTCAATGAGAGTCAGGCACACGGGCTTGTTGGGTTTGCTAGAAACTATTATATTGACTGTTGAGTTTTATTTTTTTCATTCTGCATTACTGTTTGAACATTTAGTCTTACTTTTAATTAATATAAAAAAAGAAGAAAAATACTCCAACTGTAACACAAACTACTAAGCTGTGTAACATATGGATGTAGGGTGTGTGAGCTGAGAGTGAGTGTGTGTCTGTTTGGCTGTTGAAATGTAGACTAGTGAACTCTTCATCAGCATATCTGTAATGCTCTTCTAGCAGTGACCTGAACATAGACAGTGACATTAGTGATCTTACAGGCTCTTTTTATGTCATCTTATTTATTTTTTTGTCTGGAGGAGCTACTGTATGTGTGTTGTTGTGTCAGGTGAATCTGACTGGGTGAGAGGGTGGAAGGGGAAAGCAGCGGGCTTGGACTCCAAGAAACATTTTGGGTGAGAAAATGTTCATCTTAAGGGTTCGTGTAAGACCACCTGTAGAGGTCACACTGTACATGACTACACATACTGAGTGTTCTACAAGGTAATGGATGACATCAAACTGTACGTGTTTGACTTGTTTGAGCTATTGCAATGTCAGAACTTTGTTCTTGTACAACTGAATGAAGATTCCTGTTTAAATAGTACAAAAGCAATACTGGGGTAGTGTGCATGTAAGTACATTCACAGTGATGTTCCAGTGTGGGTCTGTTAAAGGAAAATACCACTGTTTTGTCCACTCTGGGATACTTGTGTTTCCTATTTAAACCTTTTCTACATTGGCCCTGATGTTATGATTTGGAGTTTGGAGACACTTAACCATACATTCTTGGACACCGCTAGAGCTAAGTACACTAGTCTGAATGTCTACTGTGGTTTATGTTTATTATTTATAGTGAAAACGAAGCAACTGAATTCACTGCCAATTCTCTAGTGTGGATTATTGCTTAAACAAAGGGTTTATAATGTTGCAGAACAGACACCCTGCTTATTCCAAATTATGGATATCAGCTCAGGACATGATAAGGATTCTAAAACTGTCTGGCTTTCACACTGAATGACAGATCGAGACAGTCCAATTGCACGCGCACATGCAACAAGATGACAGGATGAGTGCGAGATGAGAGTAAGACACAACATTGTTGTTTTCCTTTAAAATGCCCAAACAATAGCACAAACATTATCCAACAAAAAAAAAAAAGTCTTTATTTGACATGTTGAATTAACTGTGTACTTAAAACTGTCTGAACAAGCTACTCTGCTACATATGAGTTGATGCGGGTAGAAGTGGGCCTGCAGTCATGTGGGGAAAAGCAGAGGCTACAGTAAAAATAAGATTTTCTTTAGGAACATACACATTTACATGTGCGTAGGCATATGTGCGTAGACACACAAAAAAACCATGCATACATAAACAAACCACAGGATATCCAGACACAAAAAATACCCTTCTTCCTCAGCTGAGAAAACTACAGTCTGCACTACAGCATGCCCAAACAAAACAAGCATTGTAAAAAGTAACATTTTAACAATCATTTCCCAATTTGATTCAGTTACAATGTTGAAAATATGCCATCGGAACCTTCTGTGACATTAATACATGTTGATTTCTTTTGCTTTTAGGTGGCCTAGCAAGGTCAGTGTGTGCTAGACAAACCATGGAACACGGTACCTTTATTTCATTTTAAAAATAGTTATACACAGTATGCATACTTGATTAAAGGCTGAAATAATGACTTCAGAAAATATTGTCTTTCTATACATATGCCTTGTCTCACACAGACTATAGTGCTGTTGAGTAATAAGGATGAATAATATCAGCTTACCCACACTCTCAAACTTTACAGGAATTGTGCGACATTTTGGAGAATACATTTCACTTTCTTGCTGTTAGATGAAAAATCAATACCACCTGAAGCTACAGCTAGCAGATGGTTAGTTTTGGCTAAAAGCAAATTTTCCAAAACATTGAACTCCAGTGAACTTGGTGATTAGTTTTTAACATAGTGGGACCATGCTGGGATTGATACATAACACTCAACAGTACCAAGTGTCTGAAAGCCTCAAGGTGTATGAAAGCTGTCAATTAAACAACTATGGAATTTGTCTTTCAACACTCATGTCTTGCCTTATGGAGAAAGCAAAAGAAAAATGTATTTACATATTCTACTGGTTGCAGACCTTTGTGCATCTGTGCATCCCTCTCTTCTATTTCCACTGTTTTAGCTTACTCTTTCTCTTCTTACCCTCAGCCTCCATCCATTTATCAGTGGATGGAGGTTGTCAAAACTTGTCATTGTCAAAGTCCCACCAGCTGCACTCTTATCCCATCAAAGTTATAGAAAAATAATTCTGATGAAGTCTTTATTTTCTATGTCCCTCTCGCCTTCATGGTCTCCCTTCCACTCTCCCCATATGTGTGTCTCTATATGTATATTGGTGTGCATGTGTGCAGTGCTGAAAATGTGGGTGTGGTAATGGCTAATGGATGGAGGCAGTATGAGACCAGAGTGTATTGTTCAAAGAAACACTGGAAACATTAGCTTGGGCAAACTACTCCCTTCTGTGCATTGTAACATGAGCTGGTTGCAAGGGAAGCAGCTGGATGTCTGTAGCTCCTTCTCACAGTCAGATTACATTTTGAATCATTCTGATCAGGCCTTTTATGGCATCTTTTTTGCAATTATCTCACAGGCAATTTATATAACTTTGATGGTTTGGTAAACTTTTGCCAAAGAAACCTGTGAGATGCATGTATAAAAAGCATTTCAACATGCAGTGGGTCATTTTATGCACCGCATCATCACAAGAAATCTGCATAAAGCACAGGGTTGATATGACCACCAGAATATTGTTTCTTAATCAATAAAGAGTATTGGTGCTGTCCTACTATGCTAAGTAACAATCTACTCAATGGGAAAGTAAGGAGCTTAGTAAGGTTCAGCACAATGCTAAATGTTGTGTAATATTAGCCCAAGATGGGAAGCTGTAAAGTCAAAAAACTACATGATAGCAACATCTAATTTAAAGCTATCATTAGCTAACTTTAGCATCCATCAGTTACTGCTAAAACTAGAACAAGTCATGCTGTAACAGCAAAACTACTGAGCAAAAGTTAGTTTTGTGACCCATGAAGTTAACGTTTCATTTGTGTCATTTCTTCCATCAAATGTTATGAGATCAAAATGTCTGTTGTTATATATATATGTATAATAGATATTACTAAAAATATTGGCACACCAGCATTTCTGTCAAATAACACACCACTTCTTTCAGAAAATTGAAATTAAGTTGAGGGTGATAATAATTCTATCCAGTCCACTTTTGGAGTTCTGTGAGGAATGTATCTGATTTGGTTTTTTTTATCTGCTTTTTTGTTGTTGTTCCAATGCAAACAAAAGAAATAAACACGAGAATACCAAAGAATTTGCGATTGCAACAATTTTCTGGGAGAAGTGGTGTGTTATCTGACAGAAATGCCAATATTTTTGGCCATGACTGTAGATATATTATATATATATATGTATGTATGTATGTATGAGTGCTGCCAATCAATGAAAATATGCACTCATGATTATTTGTGTGATTGTCCATAGTTATTTTGCTAAATTAATCTGATTTTTAAAAGAATCTGTTCTAAACAGTGGTTGGAAAGTAACTAAGCACATTTACTCAAGTACTGTACTTGAGTAGAATTTTGAGGTATCTGTACTTTACTTGAGTATTTTAATTTTCTGTTACTTCATACTTTGTCCACTACATTGTAGAGGCAAACCTTGTACTTTTTACTCCACTACATTTATTTTAAAACTTTAGGTACTTGTTATTTTTCAGAACACAAAAGTACAGTATATTTATAAGACCTTATTGATCTATGGTGGGAAGTTTACAAGCTACCCAGCAGTAATCCAAATTAAATGCATGTATGCTAGTTAAAACTAGCTCCCCCTTTACCAGCTGCAACATTAAATGTGATTAAATATGATAATAATGCAGCAGTAATTATACTATAATAATATGTTATACATGAATGTGAAATGTGCCATTCTGCATAATGAGTACTTTTGCTTTTAATGTTTTAATTATGCTTTGATGCTAATACTTTTGTACTTAAATTTCATTTTAAATGCGGGACCTGTAACAGAGTATTTTTACACTGTTGTGTTGCTACTTTTACTTAAGTAAAGGATTTGAGTACTTCTTCCACCACTGGTTCTAAATGTAGCTTAAAGGGACGCCAAGGTAACTGTAGTTACTGAGAGAAGTCCAGTAGTCTCTGATGAATGTCACCGTGTTTGTCTGTCCCAACGTCTCCTCCACTTTAGCTTTCTCATCTTCATACAAGTTGTGTATCTTGGTTACAGCGATGGCCCTCAAAGGCAATTCAGATGTGCAGTCTTTGTATGCAATGCAAATTAATTCAAGCAGACTCTCATCCTCCACAGTGTCAACTGGTCTGCAAGCTGTAGCCTCCAATTTAGCTATCGCTGTTGAAGGTTTGTTTCTTGTAGAGTTATCCAGGTGTCTCTGTTGCAGGCTATCCTGCATGGTCTGCCTTTGGTGAGGGGGAGGAGGGCTCTCTGCATCAGCTGTGTGCTTGGTCAGCAAGTGGTATTTGAGACTCGATACTCTGGTGGTAACTCAGTTTACATAGACAGTAAATGCAAAGAACTTTGATCTTGTCTAGCAAACCATCTGGCAGGGCTTTAAAGCTGAACTTGCCATTCAAAGACCCTTTTCTTTATCCATTTCTGCATTACTTCTTGATTTTCTAAACTACAGAGTGGGCGGAGGGTCATAATTACAGAATACGCGTGCATTAGTTGCTCATCAAAAAAGTTGTGGTGTTAAAGGGAATCTGTGTTAAGGTGTTATTATTACATTAACTTTGAAAGCCCTAAAATACAGTATATATATATATATGTAGAGAAAATCAGAGAGAGAGAGGAATTTCCATCAACCAAATCAAAGCAGGCCAAAACAAAACTTTCAAAGCAGGATCTTTCCAGATCAAAGATCCTGCCTTGATATCTAACATTTTGACATAAAGTATGTCTTCATCAGAGACTCTGATGAAGAGCTCATCTTTCTGCATCCATGCCTTGCGTAACATTTTTTACAAGCAAGTAATAACTCAACTGACTGTAACTGACAGTAATCAGCTGTTCTCTATCCAGTGTTTGGGATTTTCCCTATGTAAACTTTTACATGAACTCTGCTGACTCTCAGCAGTCAACACCTTGTTCTTCCATGTGATATAATGGGCTGCCTGTTGATTGTTCATTCAACCATGACAGACTTCTCCCACTCAGTAAGCTTGTTGACTGTCTGCACCTCAACAGAGTTTCCGTGGTTACTCAGATTAAAATTAAACTATCAGACTTCCACTCTAAACATTTGCTCACAGCATGTCTACAGAAATCTATATGGAAATAATGTAGACAACAGATGTATTTGTGCTGTTTAGTGCCTTTCCTCACAGTGCCACTTCCCTTTAAATATGTATAAATTCTATGTCCTAAATAAAATTTTAAATGCCACCCATTTCAAATAATTGAAATGAACATACCAGAGATGTTTACCTTTCTGGTTCACATAAAAAAGAAACAGTGCTGTCAGTTGAACAGACTGTGTTGTATTGACCAGACCAGAAGAAGTATTGTGATTTTACAGTACAGTATGTACAATCCACTCCTTTAGCCATCTGCCCAGGTTATACTGACTGTGTACACAGTGTGTGTGAATGTACATGTGTGATGCACAAGGACCCATGGTTAAGACCCCTACTGTTCCTCCCTCCCACCTCCCACACACAATCTGTCAATCCTTCCTGCTGTCTAATACTGAAGAAAAACCATTACACACACACACACATTTGAAGCAAACATGACTAAGGTAGATTCTTTTAAGCTACAATGGTGTCTACTGATGTTCTCCAGCAGATCGTGATGAAATACACCGCAATTTTCTGTCTTAGAGCCATGCAGAACAGAGTGGCCAAAGTGGCCTCCTGGTGCCACTGTCACTGTAACTCAGCTAAATGTCTTATTGTCAGTTTTCCAGTTCTTGGTAGTGTCTCTAACTCATGCTGTTTTTCTTATTCTTCCTCTGCAGCCTTCATTTAAACTCTACAATGTAATCTCTCCACAATTTACCACTAAGGTGTTATCATTTCTTGAAAGCTGTTTAGGATTACATTGTGACAGAGTCAACATCTGCTTTATATTTCTGTAAAACTGACCCTTGGCTCAGCTCTTCTCTTTCCTCCCTGCAGGCACTGCACTCTTTAATTTATTACTAATTGATTTATTGATTTCTAAGTTTTGGGGTTTTTTGTTGCCTCTTTTGCTGATGATAAGGTTTTCTTTTCTGTCTTCCTTTCAGTAAAATTGACCCTTTTTTGTTAACTTTAGTCACTGCTAATGTAACAAAACGCACTGTGATGACTCCCGTATTAATAAAAGTTGTACTTAAACTGTGCTGCTGTGTGGAGCACGTTTTATTATTAAAAAAAGAAAAAAGATCAAGGTCATAATCTGCACAGTTCAGTAGATGCTCTGAGAAGAGAATCACTATGGGTCAGTGACTGGGGGCAGATAGTCAATGAACCACAGAATTAATAACAGTGTTACAATCTGGAGACTGATCTCAAGAACACATAGATGCAGCCAGTGTGGGTTTTACATCATGAATTTGGGGGTTGGGGGGCAGGTCTTCTTTTGACCAGAGGTTTTTGGTGTGGCAGTGGATACCTTTGCAGTGAATGCTGCTGTGCTGAGGACGTGCTCTCCAGCCGGCACCAGATGCACCACATCGGCACATAGGCACACATAAAGCAGCTTAAGAGTAAGCAACGATTCTTTGCAGATGTCCCAGTCAAATATATTACAGGCATTATTGACAGTGGGTAAAGTCAGTTCAGTGCTGTCATTCACTCAGTTACAATTTTCCCAAGCAATCAAGTTTCACAAAGACACAGATTTTCGACTCCCAGATTAATATACATTACATCTATTTTTTTAATTTTATGATAGTTTGACCCCAACAAAAAGCAGCTCTAGGTGGAGATAAAGTGGGCAGAGCATGTATTTAAATGCCTGCAAGCTCCCACAGTTTCTAGATTATTTTTGGTACACCACTTTTGGTATACACGCAGTGAATACAATGTATTTTAACCTTTTTTTTAAAAAAAAAACAAAAAAACAATTGCTTGTATATATGGGAGGTGACAGTGGTGTGGTGGGTAGAGCAGTCGTCTCCCAACCAAAAGGTTGAAGGTTCGAATCTTGGTGCCAGCAGTCCATGTGTCCTTGGGCAAGACACACAAGGTACGGTGTAGCGCACAGTCAAATGTTTCCTGCCCTGTGTGTCAGGGCATGGCAATCATGCTTTCACAGTGAGGTGCAGCTGGCATTTTAACCCCCTTTAAAAGCAAGACCCTTCCGGTCATGATGCACTGACAGTTTGGTAATCCTTGAAGACTTTTTCTCAAAGGACAACTTATTGTTGTCTGGGACATACAGACTTTCAGAATTCTAATGTAGCAGCTCAAATTCCACCAGGAGTAGATTGTGCCTCTGTTAACTAAAGTTCACTTTGGATTAGATTTTAGGCATTTTGAAGATCTTATAGCCATGTGCAATATTTTTTAAAACATGTTGCCACAAAGGCTTCAAATGGTCATGACTTTTACAAAGTCTGAAGTAAAAGTCAAGGGCCCATGCAAAATATCCATAGATATTCCTAACAAATTTTAGGGCTTTATGTTTTGTGATGTTGAAACGTGTCCCCCAGTGCAGCGATGTGGTTCCCTGACCTTTTATTAATTGTTTTTGTACAGCAATGGAGGTCTATAGAACAAATGAATAAGCAAAGTCAGGACAGACAGACTGACCAACATCAATCATTAGTAGAGGCAAATCATTGTTAGTTATAATCGCTGTATGAGGATTGCTGAAAGTACTGTTAATATAGAAAATGACTGGCCTTCTCCTTTACAGTTTCTTGCTCAATCTTCATGGTTGTGGCATAAGCATGATGCTGGTATGATCCACAAATAAATTATATAAATTAAACAAAAACCTGGAACAGGCTCTGTCGCATGATGTTGGATATCACCACTTGTATTCTAATTAAAAACACAGAACTCCTGGTGTTAACTTTAGCCAGACTTGTTAAAAGGAAGATGGAGTGCACAGCCGTTGCCGTGGCTACCCCGTGTTTTAGATTGAGGAAAAAGGAATGTAAGGTCCTGAAGTAATTATTAGCAGAGGGACATGTTTTAATTGATTTTTCATGAGTGTGTTATATTGGTTTCATTATCCAACATGCCTGTTGGTTTGCAGGAAAAGCTGCAGAATAATGAATCAAAATAAGAAGTTTGATGTAAACAATCTTGGAGGTTTCTGACATTGA